GATATAAACAAGTTATTCATTCAGCAAATATTTATTGAGTGTCTACTATGTGCTGAGCCCTTGCTAGGTGCTTAGAACACAGCATGTGGAAGTAAAGCAAACTGACAAAAACAACCAGGCTCTCAAGAAGCCTGTGTCCTAATAGAAGAGACAGAAAGTAATAAATTGATATATAATATAGTGTCTAGAGGAACCAGTGCTAGAAAAATAAAAACATAGCCAGGTGGGTAGAAAATACAGAGAACTTAAGGCAATTGATATTACTGTAGACATGCTAGATGGTGAAGGCCTCGCTGCAAAGGTAACATTTGAGCAGAGACCCAGATGAAGTTATGGAGCAGAGCAAGCCGCTCAGAGGTGTGATTGACATCCAGACAGTGGAGTTGAGCTAACAGAGCATCAGTAGCCCTAGTCATGAATTTGGATTTTGTATGCAGGCTTTGGTGCTGTCTGACTCACACATCCTAAACTACAGTATAATTTCAGCGCTGCTGCAAGGTTTCCCTAAAATAAATGTGGGCATCAGACGGGTTTTAGCAAACTCAAAACCCCAGTCATTCTGAGAGCTCTGGGTCTATCATTATCATTCAGTTCAGGGAGCGGACAAGAAAGACAGACCAAGCACCACACCCTGGCCTTTGGATTCAAGACCACGAATGACCTTCTACTACCTAATGAAGGAATTGGAAAGGGTTTCTTGAATAACAAAGTATTTCCCAAAGCTACCCCACTCCCAACCAGTACATCCCACCAAGAACTGCAGGGTATAAAGAATTGCTCAAGAACCCAATAACATGAGCCGGGGGCTTTCCTCTCTCGCACAGAACCAAGGATAACATGGGAAGTGAGCTCAAGAGGCCACATGTCATCAGTTCTAATGAGGCCCTCGACCTTGGAACCCATGTCGCCATTCTATAACCCATGGGGACATCACCAAAATGCTGCTGATGCCCCCTAGAAACACCTATGTGAATGTTTTAGTTTAGGCTGTTTTCCATGTCCTCAAAAAGAAATTGAAAGAAAGCCGTAAGTGGTCTGTGCTTGGCAAATCAGTTTATTTATTAACATATGTACTGGTTGACATCAGAATTAGCATGGCAGACACCAAGTGAACACTTTTATTATATACTGTTGTAAAGAAGAGTAACACACTTTTCGTTACTTATTTCACTAAATAGAAAATAAGGTATTAATCTTCTTCTCTGAAGGAGAATTCAATTGCCAGTTGCTAAGTTACTGATCTTTTCATTGCTAATATTATGTGTAGCAACTAGTGTCCCCAGAGAGGATAATCATGAAGTCTGCTGTTTTGGATTTGGGAGAAAGAAGAAAAGAGAGGGAGGGAGGGAGAGAGGGAGAAAAAATAAGAGAAAAAGGAAACCATAATGTACGTATTAGTCAGGGTTCTCCAGGGTTCTCGTTATTTCAAGGGATTGGCTTATATGACTGTGGGAGCTGCAAGTCCAAATTTTGTAGGGCAGGCCACCAGGTCAGAAACTGGACAGAACCTGGTGTTACTGTGTTGAGGCAGAATCTCTCCTTCCCGGGAACCCTCATGTAAGGTCTTTCAGCTGGGTGAGGCTCACCCATTTTATTCAGGTAAATCTTTAACTAAAGCCAACTGATTGTGGATCTGAACTCCATCTGCAAAGTACCTGCACAGCGACACCTAGAGGAGTGTCTGGTTAATAACTGGGTACTATAGCCTAGCCAAGTTGATTGATACGTAAAGCTGACCATCACACACTGTTTTAACTGAGGCCAGGAAGAGTCAAAGAAGTATTTGAAGTGTTTGATGAGAGAGAGAGAGAGAGAGAGAGAGAGAGAGAGAGAG